TGTCAGTCCTCTCTTCTTTCCTGCCTTTCTGCCAGCTTCTTTTTTGCCCATTCAGACCAAACGCTCGTGCAGCATGTGCACAACACCTAGCATAAGGCAGCACACAGAAGCTGCTCTGTTACTACAAACACACACACCTTGCACTACCAGAACCAACGATGCTTACAGTTTTGCATCCTGCAGTTAGCTGAGTACATGGTACCACCTCGGTTGAAGCTTCTCCGGTGCCTGAGACATCACACACCAGTGCCCTCACTCGATCTCTGCCCTGGGGACTCTTCAACCTCTTTTCCCTCACTCCCACTTTAAAGGTGGCTGTCAGGCAGCATGGTTATTTTGGGAAGAAAACAGAGGACACAGGCAGGCGGCAGGCACAGTGTCTGTTGCTACATGAGTCCACCAAAAAATTATATGTTGCAACCGAACAGTTCCCCATTTTATCAGAAACCTTCGAGATGACTGGAGAGGCCAACTGAGATTGAGAGAGTCTTGACTGGAAACAAAATACTTGAAACGTATTTGATCAAGAACAAAAAGGACTAAAAATAGCCAAAAGAGGAAGAATAACACCACATCCCTTGAGTTTTCCCAGTATTACAAGGAGGAGCTTTTGTTCTTTAAACCGTTTGCTGAACAGATGGAGTCTGGCAAGAAAATCTACCCCTGCAGAGCGACGCTGCAGCCTACCTGTGTAAACCACTTTGCGCCTGACGGTCAGATTGACGTGACCTTGTTTGGCCGCCTGTTGCATAAGCTGGACGACAAGCTGGTGCGATTTCCCGACAACGGGCGTCCCATCCACGCAGATCAGTTCATCACCTGATCTCAGGCGGCCATCAGCATCAGCAGCACCCAGCGGTACAATGTGACCGATGTAAATCTGATGGATTAGCACAAACAGGAGAAAGGAAAGACAGACAGACAAAAAAAATAGTGATAAATGAGAACTAGCTCAACAGCCAGCTAGAAGCAAGGGGCACTGGTAGTTAGACCCGATTTAGTAGGGAAATTGTTGACAAATATCTGCCGGTCAGGAAAGTTGCTCCTGTGAAAGCAGCTCCATGTAAATCTAGCCACATTGTGAAACGAATAAATTGACATCTTGTTTCTTTAGGTAGTCCAGTCACTCTAATGGCAGACAGCCTTGGGAAATGTGTTCAACCAGACCGGGACCAGAGAGGAAGATGGTTAAAAGCACTGAGGGTCTTGTCAGGGAGGCTGAGATTGAATTATCCTTTCAGTTGCCTCTAGGGTCTACAAGCTCCATACCACTCGACTGTCCATTAACTCAGGTTTATCTTCTTCGAGTTCTGTGGAGTTACTCCAACAGGAGAGGAATTCATGGCCCCTCTTTCCACAAATGAGCAAAATAATTTTGGCAGGGAAATATGTGGAAATTTATGCTACCACTGTGTAGCTTTGACCTGTGCAGCACATGAAAGACCATGTGTTTTTAGCCTCACATCTTTCCACAGGCACTGGATTTATGGTAGAGAAGTTAAGTGAATTCAAGGAGGGAACTGAGCAAACAGAAAACCTGACACTTTAAGATCAAAATACTCGCAATCCTGACCAGGACATCCTTTCCTCAGTGTCCAGGCAATTTCAGACCTGTGCGTTTTCATTTGGGCTATCACAAAAACAGGGAATGGCAGAGGAAGCCAAACATATTTCAGTGATGAGACTTGCGGTTTGTTTTTTGGAGGGAGGGTGAAGAGGAGCTGTGGGATGTAAATACATAGCCCACTCGTTATTTTAAGAGACACCATGGCGCAGTTCTGCACATCTGTACATGCTACTGCTGCGATTCTAGAAGATGTCAGGAGTTAAAACAAGACCATTTCTAGATGTACTCACAGGTTCTCCAGGCTCATTTCCACCTAGAATCCTAAATCCAAAACCGGTTTCCTTTCTCCATAGAAAGATATCCTGCTCTTGGTAATCTGGAACTGAAGGGAAAGAACAAAACCTGTAATTTTTAATCAAAACCCCACACCTGTCTGCCCAAATCAGGACTACTCTGATGCATGTGTGGAGGGATCTGCTACACGATTTTATTCTTTAAATGAGGCAGGCTTGAATTTTTAGACATAATTAAGAATATTATAGGTTTAAATACTAAAGGATTATTATTTAAATCACTACTAAAAATTACACGGTGGTTTCTACTTTCTAGGTGTCTAATTGTGACTTGCCATGTGTTTACCACTGTAATATTTCCCTCCATCAATATTAGCATCATTACCCAGTGCAAGAGCCTCTTCCAAATCATCAATAAATAAATGTGTACAACAGAGAATCACTCTGCCAGAAACAATACAGCTGCCTCCTCTTTCATGGGAGACAAAAGAGCCACTTGTTATGACTTCTACTGTTTAATTAACTTTCAGAAGCACAGTTTACTATCTGTCTACTGATGCTGCTTTAAATAACTCCGGGACAGATCCCCAGTTGGTGTAAAACAGAAGGGCTCCACTGAAAGCAAAGCAGTTCTCCTGACTGCCACTTGCTTGTGTATGGGCTCTGTAAAACCACTGAACAGACAAAACCAGCTGGAAACACAAAAAAGCTCAATCTTACCTACTCATTAGTATGGAACACCAGCAAGGTTTTTAGTATGAATATTACATACAGTGAAGTACTAACCTTGAAGTGTGGTTGAACAGTAATGTTTTATATTAACTTATTCATGCTTGCTTTCATCCCTTTTTTAAAAATGCAAAACTAATTGCTAACATTAAATCATATCAGAAGACAACTTCAGGTTCATTTAATATTTATTGGCTAGTATCTGTAACATTGACTAATTTTGTAATGATCCCCTCCCAAAATTTATAATTAATGATAAAAAAAGCTGTTCCTTTACAAGTCAGCTGCCTAAATCTTTAGTAAAGAAACCAAAGTCTATCGTTCAGGAAAGCAATTTAAGTAAGTGCATACTCAGATACGGGATGCAACACGTTAATGTCGTTTTCTGATAAACTGGTTGCTTTCCATTGACATCAGTGAGTGTCAGGCTGGGCCCTAGCTGTATTTTACACGGTTGGTGCCTGTTGCGCAAGGTTTGGGTCTAATCATCTGGTGCTTTCCAGCGTGGAGACTTTTGGCTAGCTCTGATCCTCTCTCTTCAGTGCCTCAACAGGTTTAAAACATAATATGAATTTAAGACCTGGGAATACTAAAAATTAAAACATCAGGCTAAGGCGCAGACGTCTGCTTTGACATTTTCATTCAAACGGGTTTATAGTCATGGGGTTTATATATCGTATTTTCACATTTTGATTACTTGCAGTTATAAACTAAGCTTAAGACCTGTGCACATTACCTTACTGAACCAGATGCTAATTTTTGTCCGGATACAATTACAGATTAATCGGGTGATGAACAACGCGGGAAGCCTGCGTGGTTCACCTGTTCAGGAGAGCCGGCTGAAGGCAGCTCGCCACCGTCCAGACAGGCGGCACAACAGCAGAACTTAGCCAACAAATTAATTGGCGTTTGCCACTGCCTTCAGCAAGGGGGGGCGTGAAGAGCAGACACATTCAGAAGCATCTCTCCAGCACTTTGCAGCCTTTTTTTGGCAAAGGCTGCCCCCAACCAATTAATAGTGTGTGCTGGATCTGTCAGAGGCAAAATGGCTTCCTGCAGAGAGCTTCAGCGTGGGCCTGTCTCCTCAGCATCTCTCAACACCTTTCCATTTGTCAGCTCTCCAGCCTCACTGAACGATGCCTTATGTTTCTGGTTCAGCTACCAGCTAGCCAACTAAGGGCCACTGGAGACAACGGCAAGCCGAGGTGTAACGGCAGTGTCAAACCAAAGCAACAAAAAAAGACAAATCTGTACCCAAAGAAGCAAGTTCATTCATGGAACACTCCTTCCGCTGGAAGGATTACGGAGAGGTGAAACACAGATACAACAAACATACAGACAACACACATTTATACGAGGTGAGTACAAACCAAACAAAACTCCTTTTACTGCTTTTTGCGCCAGCTCTGCAGTATGGTGATTCACTGGCACAGCCCAGAAAACCCCGTCTGCCTCTGTGCTTCCATACAGCTGAGGTGGGACACCCTGAGGGTCTCTATGCTGGACGATCATTTTAGGTTGTCCATTATTCAGTAGCACTTATAGAGGAGCCACTTTCCTTACTTAAAGGGAAAATGTCATGGTGGTGCTGAAACTTTTTTGAAAACGCATGAAAAATGGCCTCCAGGAGTTAATCATTGCATCTTTGCACCTTGACCTGACCTCAAGCATGTCTGACTCTTTCTGAAAAAAAGGTGTACGTAGCCCAGACAGGTAAAACTTGCCAGTCTGCTCAACCTGAATTAAACCAGACCATTTGGAGAGCGTCGCAAAAGTGGTAAGAAGAGTTCTGCTGGGGCCGTGAGGAGGAATGGAAGGAAGGGCAAGTGCCATGGCCCTGTTGGCAAGCTACACAGGCAAACTCATGAACAAAATGGGAACATGATTCCCCCCCCCCCCAACCACCTATGAAATCCGCCGCTAGCCAGTACACAGTAAAGCAAATACTTTGCACCTTCATGGCTAACCTTGGATACGGCCCTGCCAGACTCCCTTGGTGATGAAGAGCCCCCCGCCACAGAGCAGCAATGACACCAGAACAAGACATCACAAGACACAGATACATTCTCGGCACAGTCTTACATTCTCCAAAACTCGTGGAATTGATTTCTCTCTCTCTCTCACCCTTGCTCAGTCCAGTTGCAGGCGAAGGTGACATAGCTGTAATATTAATTTTACAATTTTGCAAAGCTTAATGTATCTGCTTTCTTGTTAGTTCAATTAATTAATTTTGACTGCATGGATCATGTTAGGCTGTCATGCATAAATTGCTAAGGTTAAAGCTACTATGGATTACAACATACTAACTTTCACATCTATTTGCACATGCCTGTGTACATGTGGATATATAATACACACACATATGAATTTACACATTTATGCACATGCACGCAGGTATATCTGAAGAACTCTTTTTTTTTTTTTTTCTCTTCAGAGGAAGAATCTCTTTGAGAACACCACAAAAATGCTTTTCTACAAAAAAAATTTCCACCGTAATGACACAGTTAATTTTCCAAATGGAAATACCTTTTTCTAATGTTTAAAGAAATTCTAAATACGTGGTGATGAACAATGAACACAATGCTTAACTAGAGGTAATTTTAATCAAATTCTCCTATACAAACGTTAACGATTATCTTACATGTTATATTAAAAAAAAATTCTGCCCAAGGTGGCATTAGTTTCAACAAAAGATGGATTCAAAAATAATCAGTATGAGTTTGCTTTAATCACTAGCTCGTCTGAGGCAGCAGCACTTTCAGTGACTCATAGCTTGGCAAAGTAGAAAAGTTTTAAGGCCCAGATTCAGCAAAGTATATAAGGACAAATCTGAAATGAAGCGTGAGTAGTCTCACTGAAGCTGATAGAGAATTTCAGTGTTGAAAAGTCCTGTGATTTAGCCATAAATCTCATGAGATTCTGTATTTGCAGGAAAGCTCTGTTTTCTAAACTATCCCACTGCAGGAAGATTCCAGTTTTTCTGCCTTTTCCCTTTAATCAACCATGGTGGCATGGAAAGCTTTCGAAAGATGGCTTCAGCATGTTCTTGACAAGATGACCAAGTTCGGCCGCTGAGGCGTGGGGACGGCGCGATGCCTCGCCCAAACCAGGGGCCAGGCTGGTGCTGGTGAGCCCCAGCAGAGCCTGCCCACCACCCAGCTTGGGAAGAGCTCAGCAGCCGCTGCTGCCCACACCGTGCGTGGCCGTCCTCCTTAGCAAGCCGTTCTCTAAGGGCACGGGCACATCTGTGTGCCCAAGTGTATGACTGTAACTGTTGGTCTCCTACTAACACAATAAAAGGACATAACCCTACCAAGGGGCTTTTACTAACTATCGTCTTTAAAGCCAGACTGATGAGAAGGCGGCTGCAATTTCCTGAGAGTACTGTCTTTTCTATTTTAGGGAGAAAGTATCTAATGTTTGGTATCATTGTGCAAATATTTTTAATTCTATGTAATTGCTGGTGAGTGAACGCTGCACACTGGGGTCGAGACTTGTTTGTATTATTTTAATTAGATTTGGAGAGAGAAAATCCTACCAAATAAGTGATGTGCCTGAAAATAAAATTCAAATATTAACGATAACTTAGAATATTTTAAAAGCTTTAAAAATTATCTATCATGTTCTGCTTTACTTTTAATTAAATGCTTAAGCCCTTCAAAGGGATTCATTAACACATCTGCAATTCAGATTAATTCATTTTGTCACTGCTGTTTTGACAGATGGCCATATGTAGGATATGGTATTTTGCAAAGCAATCAGGCCACATGAGAAAAATTTGACAACAGATTGCGTTAATCTTTAAGGAAGTTTAATAATACATTGAAAAATAAAAAGCATATCTATAAAAATATATTTTCAATAAAACAGTGTGAGATTTCAGAATTGCGGTTCCCTGATAAACTATTCAATTGCTGTTTCTCTCCCCGAGTGCTCTTCATGAATGTCATTCCCGGATCTTGGAACCGCTTCAGTGTTTAAACCTTAAGGGTTTGTCCTTCTCTCTGATTCATGTACACAACTCCCACTGGCAGCAATGAGTTACCCACAAAGAGGAGCTCAGGCAGCTAAAACTCAGCACCAGCGAAGAGCGCATTTGTTATCATCACCAAATGATCTGTTTTCAGATTCCCTCAACACAAAGCCGGTTATTCTCCAAAATCTTAATCCAGCAAAGAATTGCGACTCTGGGCCAGATTGCAGCAGAGCATTTGAGCTCACCCTTAGCCTTAAAGCACCCAAGTCCCTTTGGGTCTACAGCTTGAAAATAAACTTCCTCGGACTGGAGCCCAAGCACTCAGCACCTTGCAGGCCTGATCCCCTCTCCCAGGGGAGCTCCATGTGAAGGAACTTTAGCCTATATTTGTTGAAAAAAGTTGCAGTTCTCATCTGCTGCCACTCTGAACCAGAGTCCAGACGCGGTTATGGAGCCATTGCTTAACTTTGCATTATTAATTCTAGCTTTTTTTCTCCCTTTTTTTTTTCTTCCCCTAAACAGGCAATGTCTGTGGCTCTCCTCTGCAGAGTCTGAGTACTTCCTGATATTAAGATGCATTCGGTAAATCAAAAAATACAGGCTTTTACAAAATTATGGGTTATCTGATGCTTTTGAACCAAATTCTGCTCTACCAATAGCTTCAGTGAGACAAGTCACATAAGTCAAATATAGTCTTTTTTTATGAAATACTGATCCAAAGAATACTCAAAGAAAGGAAGAACGCATCTTACCAATTCTGAAAAATTAAAACGTTGCCTGCCTGTGTGCTTTCCATGTCTACATTATTATTATTAATGCTAATAACAGTGGGATGCACTCCCAGTGAAAAGGCAGTAGGTGGTCATTATAGATTCAGTACTTCTTAGAAACATCCTGGAGACAATGTATTCATATATTGAATGAAGCGCCTTTATATTATTATTTTTAGATGAAAAAAAAAATCTGTCTGGGCTGGGGCTAATGAATTCATCTTTTGGTGTCAACTGCACTTGAAAATTTGCACTACATTTTCTTTATACTCAGCAATTTTACAAATGGGACGAAATAAAACACCGAAGATGATCTAATGCTCTAAAATTCTGTCTTTTTTAACTTAATCTTATACTTCAACACACAGGGTTGTTGCTGTTTTTCAGTCCACTTGTCAGAGATTCAAAACCCTGCCTCTCAAAAGAATGTTTTATAATCTTTTTCAGGATTATTAAAACTTAAGGTCATGAGTCAACTGAGGGGAAGCCCCGGACTGGGCAGCAGGAAGAGCTGGGCCAGCTGAGCTGGGGCTCCTGGGGCAGTGGAGGCTTCTAGGACCCACCAAAAGCCCCAGTTAGAGCATGCATCAGCCAATCTCAGCAGGGCACTGGGGTGACATCCTCCTGCTGTACATCAGGTATGTGTTCAGTTCTGCTCACGTCTTCATCAGAAGGATGCAGAGTCATACCCAGCACCCAGCGCTATGTATGTCATGGCAGAGGAGATGCCAACATCCCAAAGCCAAAGGGAATGGGTGCTCAAGCAAAGAAGAAAGCAATGATATGACTGTATCACTGCCAGCCAAAGGAGGCACTGGAGTTGAACTGAACCGCAGCTGGGTAAACCCATGAAGAACAACAGCACATGTGGAGCAGACACAGTGACCCTGGAGGCCAAGGGAATGGTTTCTCCCATCCCACAGTCTGTGGTGCTCCATGTCGGCAGAGCTCCCTACGAGTGGTCCGAGAGCCACCCAGCCAGTGCTTGGGCAACACTGGGAAGCGAATCTCAAAGGGATGATTCACATTCATAACAGAGCAGCCACCAATTGCCCACTTTTCACGCAGGCCAAACACAGGGGAAGAAACATGGAGCTCACCCCAAGCTCCCAGGGCAGAAGAGGTGCCGGGTTTCAGCTGTGAACCACAGCCTCCGTCTATGAGACTGGGGAGAAGGATGAAAGGTGAGGTCTTGGCGAGGGAAGGAGCAAGAGCTGACCACTGACCTCTGAATAAAACCACCAGTCACTCTTTGGGATCAGACCACGACAGGAGACAGCACATGTCCAACTGCCTTCTTCATTTAGACTCTATCTTCCCTGTTTTTCCTCATCTTACATTAGGCGCAGCAAAGCCATGTCACTAGGTAAGAGTGCAGGTTAATCCCCAGGGAACGTGTTTCACTCCAGCTCAGGGTCGGAAATTCATAGGATCTTGGACACTTCTAGCGGCACATGCTTACAAGGAGACGTGACCATATCACACTTCTGCCATTCTCCAAAACCCCTCTATCTATGAAACCAAGAAATCCCAGAAAACACCTTCCTGGGAAGGAAATGGCAATGGGACGAAAAGGTGGTAGAAAAGCACTAATGCCCGAACAGGTAGGTCTCATCTGGTAGAAGAGGCAGGAGACAAGGATTGAAGCAGTAGGAGAGGATCAACCCCACTGCAGAGATGCTGGACCATGGGAAGGTGAGAGAGGGAAGCTGAAGGGGCATAGCAGATCCCAGTCTAACAAAAGGCCCAAGCACAGAGAACTGAGGCACGGGGAGAGATGGGGCATGGGATACCAGCAGGTCAGGAGACAGTGAGGTGGCCTCTGGAAAGGCTCTAATCACAGACAAGGACAAAACCTCTACAAGATACCTGCAGCCATTGAGGAAAGAGGGAGGATTTAGCAGATGGTGGTGGAGGTGGACACAGGAGGGCAACTGCCTGTGCACTTCTGGATTTCTCTGGCTCAGTCTCGGGTTTTATCAGGAAAGACAGGCAGGAGTTAGGGCTGCTAAGCTGATACTAATGACTAATTGGTATGAGTTAAACAGTTAATTAGAAATTAGCTAAGTAGCTGTGGGGGGTCAGAAGCAATGCCAGCACAGCACCTATGGGAACCACGTGAGCTGAGCAAGGGTGATGCCGGTGCCATGGGACGGCCTCAGCCTTGCCTGTCCGGGCAGGCAAAGGAGGAGCTCTGCCCGCGGCTCTGCAGGACTGAGGCGGCACCGTCCCTCAGCTCTTGCCCCTTTTTCCTATTTCAACAAGATGTTCCTTCACCATGCTTCTCCCAAGATCAGCCTGACCTGGCCCAAGAGCCCGCAGGGTCAGCACGCCTAATCCCTGGGAAGGAAGGGAAGGAAGCAGCGCACAGAAGCTGAGACACCTACAAACTGCATTGCTGAGACATTCAAATCCAAAGACACGCATCTTCAGCCAAGAAAGTGTGACTCACGATTTAATTTTTTCAGGACATAAGATTTTGAAGTGATTCATTTGGTCAGAAAAAAACCCAGTCCTTCCATTTTTCATTCTGGGGTAACATTCATTTCATCCTAGACACCTACAAACTGCATTGCTGAGACATTCAATCCAAAGACACGCATCTTCAGCCAAGAAAGTGTGACTCACGATTTAATTTTTTCAGGACATAAGATTTTGAAGTGATTCATTTGGTCAGAAAAAAACCCAGTCCTTCCATTTTTCATTCTGGGGTAACATTCATTTCATCCTGGTTTTACCGATTTCTAGTTAGCACAATAAAATCCAAGTCCAGGTGATACTTTTACAGCACCAAGACTTTGAAGCTCCCTTTTCTGTAACTAAAGTAACTATTGCTTTTGAAAATTAACCTAATGCCCTAGCTCTTTCTTTAACAAGCTTTTACAGATTCAACCATCTTCAGCAGTGCAATTAAAGCAAAGCCAGGGTGTTTATTTCGTTTGCAGAGAAGGAACTGATTGAAACCATATTTATAGTCTTGGAGCAGAGTCAAAGCCCCGCTGAACTATTAGCCAAGTGTGCAGATTATTAATTGCCATAAAAGCCACTTACAATAGACACTTGATATCTGTACTGTTAAAGTGTCCACTCTGGTCAAAATAAAATGGCTCAGCTGGATTTTCTCCTCCCCAGGGTGAGACTGGAAAGCATCTGATATGAATTTCAGCAAACTAAATACTTCCCCTCCTTACTGAAATTCCTACGCATATCAGACATTGAGTCTTAAGCTGAAAAAAGAGTTTAGAATCTGGATAACAAACTTGGAAATTCTCCTTCAGCCTAAATAAAAAAAAATAGGGGAAAAGATGCTCTTTAATTTTAAAGGGATTTTTCGTATTAAGCATTGGTCTAAATGCCCTTTCCTAGAGGCGATCTAAATTCATTCCTCATCAGAGGGTAAAGTGCACCTCTCTCAAGTAGATATCATTGACAGCTACCGAATTAACAAACTGAAGCCTTACATTTTCAACATAAATCTAAAAGATTCGGTTCTTCGCAAAGAAAATATACAGAGAGCAGCTGCCAGAGCCGTAGCCTTAGCAACCACACCTGCTTCATACTCACGTCGGCTTTCATACATGCTCCTGGACTGGGCCCAGATTTTGAACGGATCTGGCTTTTTCTGCCCAGAACTGTCCGGTTGATCCGCAGCCGGCGCCTCCGCAGCGGCGTAGTCCGGCAGCACCTGCGTGCTGTGAACGGGGGAAGCGGTGTGCCCGCTGCGGTGGCTGGAGACGCTGTGCTGAGAACTGTTTTGGCTGTCTTTCCTTTCAAGTGGTTGCTGTAAGGAAGAAAGCGAGTGGAAAGAGAGAGAACAGACGGTTATTGGTCTTTGAGTGGGTGTTTTCCATCAATTTCTCTCCCTTCTTTGATCAGGGTTTCTGCATGCACATAAGTAAGTACATAAATCACAGTTTTGCTGCCACTAGTTAATGCTGGGTACAGTTAAATTCCCCGATGACAGATTTTGATAGGCAGACTGACAGAAAGAGATATGCAAAACAAAGTCATTTATCATAAAAAAATATGCAGTTCTCCATCTCACGCACAAAACAAATCTAAATCTCATTATAGGTTACTAGTTTCAGTGCACTTATTTTTTCCTACATTAAGGCAGAAAAACTCAACAACCTTCTACTCAGATAACATTAGGGTCTAATTCGAGCCTGCAGGAAAAAGGAAAAACTACCAAATTTCACTGTGAAAACTTAAACAGTCCCTCTGAAACAGATGCAAGCACAGCTCTTACTATGAAAGATCACTTTTCCTCTGCAGCTCTTGCAACCCCCATATCACCAGTGGGTGGACAACAAGGTACCGCTTTCACATCTCTGCTTCCCAGAGCATCCACAGGATTACAGCAGAACTTCACAAATGTGAAAGTGTCTATTTGCAGCTTGATTTCCTTGTTTTAGTTGAGCGTATTAAAACAGGAAAAAATACGTCCGCCTAAATTCAAGGCTAATTCAAAAGCCGTGTGTCAAGAGCTCTGTCTGCTCAATATTTAGCTAAGCAGGGTACATAATTCTTAACTCAAATTCACAACGGTGTGCTCAAATGGAGCACAAGTCACATTTGCATCGCCAGCATTTGTATTGCTCAATATGCAGCAAGATGCTTCCTCAACAAGAGCTCCCCAAACTGTACAGCAAATGCTTTTTAATGCTCTTTTGAGATGACCTTGGGTTGGTATCAAGGTCGTGTCCAATCTCCCACCTGCTCCAGCACAGGGAACTGGCACGTTCCCGGGGCTGCTGTGACGCAGAGGGCGGTCAGAAAAAATAGCATCCTACAGGTTGTTCTTACAACATCCACAATTTCCTGGCTAAAAGGAGTCGGCCGCTCAAGACCAAGAAATCTCAGACAAAAATCTAAGGCCTCCTACTGGCAGGGGATACCCAAAACCAGTGCAACAGGAACCTCTGCTTTCAGGGACCTCTCCAAAGAAAACCAAGCAGCGGTCGGGAGAAAAGCCAGCGGCCAACACAGAGCAGATCAGCACAGGGGGCTGCAGGGCACGGGGGGCTGAGGACCCCCTCCCTTACCCTGAACGCGAAACCCCAGGCGGCCGATGCTCCATCACAGCAGGGCCAAACTAACTACAGAGGAGAAAGTCACCACACGAAAGTGCCCTCTTTTTGAGTCTTAACAAGAATTTATTTTTTTTTTAAGTTGCACGTATTTTTAGGTTTACACTGAGAAAAAAACCCAGCTCCAACAGCCCAAATGACTTTGACCTCTCAGCCTCACATTCAAGTTGTTGATCCACAACCAGCGTTTTTTTAAATAGTATCTTGATCGACTAGAATGTGAAATTGCCTTTGTCCTTTAAAGCAATTTTGAACAAAGCATACGTGCTGTGATTACTCATCTGCAGACTTTCAAATACAAATATCTGAACCAATTTCAAACATTTTTAGCTTTTTAAGTGGTAAAAGAAGCTAATTCACATGCAGCCCATCAGTTTTGAAATGAAGCAGTTTTAAAACATCTATGCTGAGGATAATCACTCCTTTGTAACTTAAAAATGAAAAAAAAAAATAGAAAAGAAAAACCACTTTACAACTCTGGGTCCAGCCATCTGGATTGTTTTGTTTGTTTGGACAAACTACTAAAATAACTCCAAGCATCCTGTGAAACTTCAGGCCAATCTCACTGGAAATAGCTGGTTTACAGAAGTCGGAGTACAGGGACTAAAATGCGAAGCTTTATTCAGCCCCTGGGGAAACTGAGAACTCTCTGAAAACTTCCCGATTTAAAAAGAAGTAAAGTTTGAACTTTAAAAAGTGTTCTCACTTTATGATACGAAAGGTCTAAATATTGAACAAACTATGAATTCTGGTTTGTATTTGGGCTGCAAATGGAAGTGTCAGCATATCTCAAGCAAAACCACCCCTAATTAAACTAGAGTTGCAATTGCAATACACAGACATCTAGCGAGAAATAGGGGAAAACGTCTTCAGAGGGACAGTTGTTTTTCCAAACAGTAACTCCTTCAAAAAGCCTGAAACGTCTCTACTTAGCAGTTGAAAAGGGGGGCAGAGAAAGGAGAACACAATCATGGAAAACATGAATACATCTAATTAAATTAATTCAAGACAACATTAATTGTCTTTCACATCACCAGATGAGGCCAAAAAGGTTTGGGGCCAAACTTGTCCTCTGGCTGCAGCGGCTGCAGCACACGAGGAGCAGCAGGACTCGCAGGGTCTGACCGCCCTGCTCTCCCCGTGGCGACGGCGACCGCCCAGCACAAGGAGTTTGTGCCTTGGTGCCAAGGTGGGGCTTTCCTGAGAGATGGGAGCTGAGGGTACAGCAATGAAAGGCTACACCATGAAAGGATGGCTTCTCGAACTCCTGCCTCACTCCTAGCTTTGGGGCCGATCCTCCCGGGTCCGGGTCTGGCTGCCCGGCTCGCTCAGCTCTCACACGGGCAGGAAAGGAGCTAAACCAGGGCCAGATGAGCACAGAGCTGTTTTGGTGCCAGACTGCTGCAGAGCGGGCGGTTCAGACCTCACCCTGAGATGCTGGTCATGTTTTTCACCGCAAAGTAAAGCAGAGCGGCTGAATCGTGTTGACTTCTCACAGTAGCTACAAGAGCATGGGGGCACTGAACTACCCAAGTCAGCAAGAGCACCCCTGTCCCTCCAGTCTGTGGTCTTCTCCAGAGCTGTGGATAAGCATAAATAGCTTGCCAGAAAGGCTCTTGACCAAAAGTGGCTAGAAATCAAGACTACAATGACTTCCTCGAGTCCTTTTAGGCAGATTGCATGCTTAAATACAGGTGATGGGAAAAATCAATCACCTTGGTACTGTACTACAACCGTGACAAAATAAATATGTGGAAGGCTGGAGCTTCCCGTGCCCTACCCAAGCCCCTCCAGGTCTGAGATGCGTGGCCTGTGCCAGTTTCCCTATGCCCTTGCTGAAACTTCACAGTGCTCATCCTGCAAAAGTTAAGATGAAGAAAATGTGCTATTGGGAAGAAAGTCTTTTCTAGCTGCCCTTTCCCCACTGGTTGAGGTTACCAGGAACATCAGCGTGGCTCAGATTTCCAAGTGCAGCTGTGGGGGCAATTGCTGCAGAAGAGGGGGCAGCAGTGGCCAGGGCTTGGGCATCCATCAGCCTTGCAGGATTCCTTCCCTCCACTGTGCAATCCCATTTGCAGCCACAGGCACTCCAGTTGCCGACCTGAGAGGCAGCTTCTCCCTCAGCAGAGAGGTTGAGTGAGCCCACACTGAGCCCTACATCGTCCTCTGATTACGGGCAGGGAATAAACAGCAACGGTGACGTGAACTGGGGAGCTTGACGCTGTTGTGCTTCAAAAGGAGACAGGAGGAAAACTGCTTACAAAAGTCTCCAAGTGCCTGGAAAATGCTACAGGTACCCACATAGCAGAGACGAGTTTGTCATTCAGGCTAAATGAGAGAGTAATTAGATGTTACTTTGTACAGTGACTGCTAAAACAACCGAGGCCCACGACAGGGCTACGAGGTGGCTGGAGGCAGAGATGGGACGCTAATTATTAGCAGCAGTTGTGTATGTCTGTGTCAGGCAGAGAGAAACCCGCAGCAGAAGAGGCGATGGCAGCAGGGAGCGTGTCCTGCGGCACGAAGGGACACCAAAGCTTTTTGGCACGGGATTCTCCAGGCATTAAACTGCAAGGGAGAAGAGTTGCTGTGGTTTCCTCCCACTGCATTTCAAGGTTGGCGGGGGGGTGGGGAATGGTCTCTGAATGAAGAGGGATGTGTTGTGCAAACACTCATGCTATGGAACCTACTTCTCCTGACAAAACCAGGGCACCAGCAGAGCCCCAAGTGCTGCCTCTCCACCCGAAATACGTGGCAAGTCTCTTGTCAGGGACAGGCTGTGCATAGGAATTGCATTTTTGGCCACAATTCAGCTATGCTGACAACGTATTTATTTACACCCAAAAGAAAAAAACAGATTTTTGGAAGAGCTTAGCACTTTCTTCCCCCTGCAGTGATCCTGTCTTCTGATGATCTAGCTGCAGATTTTGTGCTCTAGAGCATTTCAGAGAAACTCGCCCTGGCAGCTACAGCAAACTGAGCTGGAAATGGGAATCTTTGCCCCCTTGTGGAGTATTTTGATGCAAGCAACACGAGGGAAAAAAAAAAGAAGAAAAAAAGAAAAAAAAAAGTTTGTTTTCATCCATGTTATACCAGGATAATTGCAGGGGAAATTGCTATACTAGAGAACTTGCACACTGAAAATGTACATCCTCAGACGGTCAATATAAAAATACTACTCATTTTCATCTAAAGAAGAATCAATGGGAAACTAAAACCAAGCAAGCAACAGAGAGAGGTGCTGTGAGCATATCCTTGGTGGGGGGAAAGCTGGAAGAAAGGACTTGGAAGTACCCAGTCCCATGCATGCCTGGCAACCTTTTTTTTACTAATTTGGCTCTTCCACTAAGGTTGAAAAACTCTCCTTAAACACTGAGAAAAAGAGCAAAGCTCATCGGAAGATACACACAGGCTGAAAAACACAGCCCAGGAAAACTGAGCTGAAGGCAGAACAACATTCCCAGGTGCTGTCGCAGCCCCAGCACTAACAAAGCTCCCCAAGGGGCTAAAACACCTTCTCCCAGCCGGGAGGTATCCAACAGCCTGAAGTTGGCCTTTTGGGAATATGGGATTGGGGCTGATGGCTAAAAATAGGGCTTGTTTGAGAAAGAGACAGCCGTTGGCAGTAAGTCGGGAGTCTGTCTGGGCTCTGGGAAGGGATACGAGGTGACAAGAGAGGGCTCGTCACTGTGCTGAGTGAGGCAGAGGAGGATGGAGACCTGAGCTGCTGTTTTCCCCAATGCAGCAGCAGAAACAAAGAATGAGCACAAGTGAAGATTGGGCCAACCTCTCCCATCCTGGATGTACGCTGACTGCAAACTGCAGCTAATTTATTAATCAAGGAATGCTGGCAAACATTCCCTCTGCCTTGGGCAAAGGGAGCAGGGGAAACAGGCAGCAGGTTCAACCCAAGCCCTGTAGCCAGACATGGGGCGCCGGGGACAGCCCGGGGGCGCACAGCTCCGCCGGCAGCGCCCACGTTCACCCACCGGCCGCGCGTGCAGGAAACCATACCCGGGAAATGCTGGAGCAGGGTGCAGCCAGACGGCATCCCGGCCGGGGAGCGCGCCAGGACAAGAGCAAGTGGGGATCTTCATGGCCAAGAGGGCTGGGCTCCCCTCACCCTGCAGCTGAGCACCAGCCCTACAACTAAACCAAGGAAGCAACACCACGGCTTTTATGCTTTTGACCATCGCCTTGGCCACACGAGCTCTGGTGTTGGGTGTAAATCCACCCCAGACAGTCCTGAGGACAGCTTCCTCCTCTGCATATGGGTGCCCCAAGGCGCTTTGCTCCAGGTTTCCGTGCTCAACCCGTGCATGTCACCGATGCCTGGGAATGCAGGAGCGGCTGTGCTGGCTCCGACGCACTCGGCTCTGCCCCTCCGAGGAGCGATCGGTCATTAAAGCTGCCGCACAATGCGGCAGTGTAAAACATCGCTGCTAATTGCCGATGCAAATGATCCGGTGTGCAGGCAGGGGGAATAGGAGGCTCTGTTTATTGTGAATCCTACGCTTTAGAGACAACACCACCACCTAGGGCCGTAGTAAAAATTATTGGAGGGACCCTAAAGCAATGTGAGCGGGGTTCAGGAGAGGTACGTGAGGGAATGGGACTGTTTCCCCAGGGCTGACTGGCTCCTCAAAGCAAGTAGTAGGGAGAAATATGCTGTTACAGGGCTACACCTGTTTGCAAGCAGCCTCTTTGTTCACTGAGGCAGGATTATCCCAACGCGGATTTAGAGGCTGCTCAGATTTTCACGGTGCATCGCTGCCGCCCAGAGAGGTGTCTGACACGGCAGGATCTTCCTTTAACCAATGCCAAAAGCGTGTGTGGCAAAGTGGGAGCCTCCACGCTTTGAACAGCCTGAGACTCATTGACCGGGGCTGCTTTAACGACCGGAGTCAGAGTCTGGATCAAGTGCAGCCGCTCCTGCTCCGACTGGGGAAAAAAGTGCAGGCAGGGAAAAGCAACGTGCCAAGCGCGTACGTATTTTACGCGCTTGCTTCTTTTTTCCCAAAGGCTGAAATAATCTCAGCGTATGACAGACGTGAGCGCCCGGGCTCTGCCATGCCTGTGATCTGCGAGGGAGCACACCCCACACTTCTGCCTCTCAACATTAATGCGAGCTGACAATGGTAGAGGCCTGGGCTCACGTGACTTTAATCAGCGCTGCCCTAAGCCATCAGAATCACATTAATTATTTCAGGGCTTTCTTTTTGGATGAGCAGAGAACTCGTGTTAAAAGCAGGAGCCTTCTGCTCAGCCCCTTCATAAACCTCTTGCCCGGGTTTGCACCCAGCTGCAGTTTTTGGCACCCATCGGGGACTGTCGGTGAAGTTTTGCACCGCCTCACGACACGGCGAAGACCTCGCTCGCTCTGCTTCCCCAAAGCTACTGGGAGAGAATTCTCTTTTTTCCTCTCCCTCTCAACTGATAACTGGAAACTTTCAGGCTTTAAGTATTCCATTTCCTTTAAAAAGCAAACATTTCCTTTTGTTGCATACAAATAGCACATTGATTTCTTCCATAGCATCACGCACGGAGCTTTAATGATACTTCAGATCACGGCTTCCATGCTATTAGCTAACATGTCATCCAGGTAACAGCTTTACAGGGAAATAGGATCAGAAGGCACAAGGAAATACTGTTCTGCTGGCTTTTTTTTTTTTTTTTTTAAATAAGGAATCTCACACCTGCAGCACAACCCTGCTCAGTATGAAAATGCCTCCAGAGCAAGCCCTCGGACAGCTAACCGTATTCCCTGGGAACCATAATCATGCTCCGTTCATGCTTTGTCTCTCTCAACAAGGTGCATGCTTGCCCGTTTTGTCAATAATTCAGCCGAGGGTACTCGGAAAAACTCAGGGAGTTAATGGAAAAGGTTGGTGCCTACGAGCACCCGACAGGAATTGCTATCTGGCAAGAAGGTGGAGCCTCCCATCTTCCCAAAAGGAAACAATAGCTTTTTTTTTTTGGTAAGTTAAACGACAGAGAAGCTCATCTGTCAGGGAAGAGGAGCTGTAAACCTGAGGCTGCATTTGCAAACAAGTCCCTCTTCTGTACTGCATTCCTCTTTCACCTCCCCATGCAGCCGGAGCCGTGCAAGGTAATCACGGTCGCAACAGAAAGACAACTTAAAACAATCGAGACCCAGAACAAAACCAAACCGAACTCATGCCTTTCTCCTTCAAAGCAGACAGACAGACAGAAATAGTAGCTGAAAAGTGCTTACCGACTTTGGGCTCTTCTTTGGGACCGGCAGTCCTGAAAAATGGCAACAAGGGAAAAATAAACATTAGCATCTAAACGTTACCTTCCCTTAAAGAAAAATCCCTAGGTGTATCATCCGAACGTAGCCATCTGCAGAGTTATGTCAGCTTTCGCTCTCGCATCGGAGTTGCCAGTCTGTTCATATCGAATCAAAGCACCGGGAGAGGGAGAGCGAGGGAGAGACGGGAGCGGGGAAGCGGGAGCGGGGGGGAGCGCTCTATCTGCATTAGCTATGCTGACTTGTGCCGCAGCAGCCGGGAGGCTGGGAGAGAAACCCACAGCCCTCAGCGCCCGCCGAAACCCAGCGCGCTTGGGCAGAATCTCAAATGCTCCCCTGGATTACGGGAGACTTAGCTTACAATTAAGCCGGGGCTATTTCCTTTTGACGCGAGCGGCTCGGCGATTTTATCGGACCAATCGCGGCGGCGCAGGGGGAACAGGTTGATTTTTTAAAAAAGTATTTCTCTAGAAATCTATTTTTGAAAGGAAATGTGCATTGGCTTGAGCTGGGAGCTGCGGGCTGGGCAAAGGAAAACAAAAGCCTGAGGAGGAATAAGCTTTTATCCCTAAAACCCGTGAACGTTACTGAGAAAACACGCGTTTTCCTTCCTGTCCATCCTAAGTGTAAATCTTTGAAGCCAGAGATTTTATCTGTTAGTTACAATTTCAGAGAGCTGAGGCTTGAAAACAGCGCTGCAAATGTCCTGACCCTTGGTCGGGGGGGATGCTAGGGGGCTCTGAAAAGGGGGGCTTACACAGGTTGCAGTCAATGCAAAGGAAGAAAAACAACTGGGAGGGCACCAGAGAAGGTTTTTTCAAGGACAATTTTGCATTTTGGAGCAGCCTCTTACTTGCTCTGTGATGAGCAAGAGAACTCAAGTGGGATTTCTATCGACTGCTTCTGCATATAGCTCAATTCCCAGCAGCAAAGGAGACACTTGTTCGGGGGATTTACCTACAAGGCAGGAAAAAGCTCTTTCCTGGGCATTTTGCAAATCACCTTTTCCTCCGCCTGTTGGAGGCGAGGGAACTCCCCAGATTTTGCTCTCTGTGGCACTCCAGAAAACAAACATAAACCAAACCAGAAGATTACACTCCACATTAAGTGCTCAGTAATTCAGATGTTTCAAATCTGCTTTTGTCTTTAGGATGTGATTTATGTGGCACTTATGCCGCATTATGTTTTCTACTTTATGCATTTTGTTTGTGCTAAAACCCGTGCTCTCGTCTAACTTTTACACAGAGAATAAAATACGTGATGCAAGTGAATTACAAATCTGTCTAGGAAGGAGCTCGTTTTAAGGTAATTTGGGAGATGTTAGTTCAGAACAGGGAAGATCCACAGTTAAAAATGATAAACAGAGCTCACTTTGCTGCCTGCTCACAGACTGGGATGCAAACTGTAATGACTATTTTAAACGAAATATTTGCAAGCTTTTGAGGAATATCTGTGCTCCGCACGTCACTCTCATGCATTCCCGGCCGATAGCTGCTACCCCTCCAGGCACTGATTGATCGAGGGACAATGAAACATCAAAACTGTTTGAACTAAACAGTCAAGACTGCAGCTTCATTTCTGCTGACGGTGGCTGTGTTTGTATAATGCACTTAAAGAGGAAAGCACTAATAATGTTCACGGCAAGTCACATTTTTAACAGGCGTCATTTATCACAGAGATAAACACAGAGAGAGACATTCTCCCTCTCTCTCTCTCTCCCCTTCCACATGCATGCACACACGTTTACTCTCCCTTTCCAAGGGATGCTCTTTCCTATTAAATCAATAGGTAGAACAGATCCCCATGCACGCACGCACGCACCCTTAACAGGCCAGCATGAGCCAGGAAAGGTATCACAGCAATTCAAATGGTCCCTGCAAAAAATAAAGCTGGGATGCAGCCAGGCTGTTGGTTCAAATGGTACCAGAATTCAATTTATTGCATCAGGAGCAGCGTCAAATGTTAAAATTTACTGAGTATGAGCTCCTGAACAAATCTTCCCTCCATCGTTTGTCATTAATTTCAGCTGTTCCACTAAAAAAAAAAAGATGGAAAAGGGTTGAAAAATAATGGAAAACACATCAAGGCCATTGTTTGGCGGGTCCTTCAGAGGCTGATGAATCTTACAGTGTCACTGCTCCGTGCCAGACTTCGCTGCAGAACAAGCAGTAATTGACTTTTTACCAAAGTAAGTGACTGCAGAACACGTTAACAAATGTTGGTAGTTTTTCACGGGACAAGCTTATAGTCAGGGGAATAACCTGCCCGTACATTTTCCTGTAAAAATGTTATTTACTCATCTAATTAGGGTCTCATTTTAAAACTCCAGTTCTTGACGCAGCAGGCCAAATGAGCAAATGATAGGTGTAATACGTAGTTTTCATGCTCAGATGATGGAATGGATACAACATTTAACAGCGATAAGCATGAGGCACTTGAATAACCCCCAAATCCTGGGAGCTTCACTAGCAAGAAAACACTGAGCTTTATCAAAAAGCTTCTAGCAAAACCAATTGCCCACGTTTATGAGTTTGGGAGGGCAACAGCTATGAATTACAACATTCACCTTTTGATTACATTAACCACATCCCATCCCTGCTCAGGCCGTGCCTTGCTTGGTATGCGCATCCTCCCAGCTGCCCCGTTCCCCCCCGAAGCCTCACTGCAAGTTTTTCCGAGGTAAATGCGCCAAGCATGGATTTAACACCCAGTTTGCACTTCTGGTATCGTCCAATTTTTTAGTGGTTGGAGTAATGGCATTCGCATCCCTGGCTAAGAGAAGCCAAAAGGCTTCTCTGCTGCTCTGCCCTCAAATCTGATAATGGAATAGTAATAGTTCATATCAACGCTGTTTGCAATATAATTCCCCTCTGATTTAATGCCTATGGACATCCCTCACTAGTACTTGAAATGCATCTTCTAATTTTGGGGGAGTTTGGAGGTGCAGATTAGGGACGGTGGAAGGGTCATGCAACCGAACGGGGCTGTTGTCATCACAGAGTTAACGGTGTTTTAAAACAAACGAGCACATCTGGTAAACAATGTCAATACGACCTAAAACCCCTTGAATGGGCTCATTGTAGCTACTTACTAAATGTGCCTGGAATTAAATTAATTAGAAAGCACAAATTACTCCCCTCTAAATAACAATGTAATAAAGCAACTGCTTAATGAAAAATATCAGTGATCAGTGAGCAATCCGCAAGCACAGAAAAAGGGATTGTAATCAAACTAAATTCACAGACTCGTCAGCAAGGCAAGAAGGGCTTCGTACAAGGTTAGTCAAAAATGAGTCAGATGCAGGCATCTAAATTAAACTAATTATCACAGAGATTATTACATTTATCTTAACAAAACCCTCTCTCTTTTCTTCCCAGTACTCCCTAAAGCTCTGTGTACAGCTGGCTGCATCCATCTGCTCAACTGCGTTTTGTAACATAGGGGAAAAAATGCAAATCATTAAGCAAGTTTTGTACCATGACTTCAGCACTCTTAATGCCATTACCCATCAGGAGCAGTATTTCTGTTGCGTGACACTGTATTATGTTGTGAGTGATGTGGTCCACGAAGTAAGGCCGCAACCCAGGTTTTTTTTCATATTATTTGGCATGTATTCATTTTGCAGTCTTGTGTGGTAAAACTTTTGGAACTGGGAAGCTCTAAGTTCCCTAACCCTACCTACTATGAGTTCATGGAATAACCGATGGGACAAAACCGTGACCCCAAGTGTTGCTGTTTCTAACATGCAGCAGTCCTCAATTTTTACAGGAACATTTTCTCAAATCTTTTGTCTTCGTGTGACCAAAGTAACATGGGAAGACCGTGACACATAGCAAATTCTGTCTTGCTGAGCACATACAGAATGCAACGCGTGACGTGGACCTGACTCTGGTGTGAGCTCAGAAGGCCACAAATGCTCAAAAATTACCTAGAAAGACACCAGACACATCATGTCCTGTTCTACAGCCCTGTGGTTTAGAGACAGTGGATCACAATGATCAAAATTTGAATCTTAAGGAAGACCTATCTCTAGGTACCACAGGAGTCATCCAGTCAAGCCATCCGAACAGCCCAGTTATGTGAAGGCCAGTTGGCATGAACACAACTCCCTTCACCACAAAAAAAAAAAAAAAAAAGGTTTGTATTTCAATGGGATTTCAACTGAAGTCGGAGCCATTCAGTACCAGTTTGCACAATCCACCCACAGGACAAAGATGCTTGAAATTGCTAAGAGGCAGGCTAGAAGTCAGACGTATCATCTTATTTATTGCTTATAATGCCTGTGGCTACTGCTCAACATCTTTAAGTTTTGGGGTGGTTTTGCACATGAAAGGAAAGAACAACTGTGTCTAGATCCTTACTTCTCATGACTGCTTAGCACTCCCAATCAGGGACACCCTGTGGACCATCCATATCCAACAGCAAAAAAACCCATAGGTGAGCCTAGGTGAAAAGGTTACCCACTTGGTTTTGCCATTACGTGCCCAGAACGCACAATAGTAGAAAATTAGCAGGAGATTAATAAAAACACAAGAAAAGAAACATTTCAGACTGTGTCACAAGGTTAACATTTACAGAGAAAATGTTCCTGCCTGGAAAAAAATAAAAATAACGCATTTTCTAAACAGTGCTGCTTACACCGTGCTGAATAAAAACCAAAGGCTGTATCAAGGAAAACAGACACTTGGAAAGATGAGGGGTAAAGTACTGGAGTCGGGGCGTACACAACCGTATACCTGGCACTGCACATTGATCACTGCTTTCTGTGTGAAAAACAAGGAACTCTAAATAATTAACGCTAATGGCCATTAGTGCCACCGGGGGACAGGGGAGGGGGGGGTTGGTGGTGACAAAGCAATCCCCTTGATTCTGTATAATCCATTGCCAAAGAATTTCTAATAAAGGACAAATACTATCTAAAAAAACAGATGGAACTTGATCTTTTCAGGCTGGAGAAAGAACAAGACAACATACCAGAGTGATTTGCAGCAAGAGA